TCCTGCCATTGCTGGACCACACGGCTCCACAGCCTAAGCAGCCGGGCCGGCGAGCGCCCCCTCCAGGAGAGCCCTAGAAGCCGCAACTGAAGGAGCTGGGGTGATGGCAGGCAGGGGGACCCTAAGGCAGCTCCCCTGTGCAGTTCACAATCCGAAGGAGTTTGATTAAGATCGTCAAACTCTGGAGCTGCTTTTGATAAAAGTGCGTGAGAGCTGCCAAGCTGTTCCTTGGTACAGGGGGTGACAGCCAGAGCCCAGGGCAGCTCACTTCTCTGAAAACTCCACACTTCCCTGCTGTACACCTTCCAGGACAGGCCCAACCCTGGAATCAATTTTAAACTCAGTGTCCTCTGGGTCTGTGCCTTGGGAAGAGACGGGCCTATTGGGGGCAGAGGGCTGCACAGGGGTCAGTGTGAAGCTCATCTGATAGATGAGTGGTTGGATGAACCGCCGAGGGAGTCCTCTCTCTTGCAGAGCCAAGGCAAGGGTCAGCCCTTAGATACCATGGTCCTCACCGGAAGGCCAAACTTTGGGATGAGGATGCAATCTAAAGCTGCCCCTTCCATGGCCAAGGACAGGAGTTGAGGGGCAGACTTCAGTACTGGCCTGGCCACACCAGGGCTAAGCCAAGTTCTGGGATACTGCCAGGGTTACTGCCAGGTTCCCCAGCCTGAGGGCTGGGATAGCCAGAGAGTGACTGTGGGGTCGTCGCCTGCTAGTCCCCTTGCCTCAGTGCCATCCCGGGTAGCGGCTGGGTGGGGCTGGGAGAGGAGGGGGGAGGGCTGTGAGGGGGACTGCCCAGCTGGAAGAGGCCTTGTCTAATTGTGCCTGATTAGTAGAGAGGAAGAGAACAGGGCGAGTGATTAATAGTCACGGCACTCAGCAGCCTGTGGGGAAGGAGGGTTGGGAGGGGGAGAGCAGCCTGGGATCTAAAGGGGACGGATACAGCGAGGCACCCACAGGCCCTGGTCTCCTGTCCTTCTTGGAGGCAGCCTGGCCCCTGAAGTCTACTGCTGTACTCTATGAGACTCTCCACCTCACCCCCACCCCATGCCTCAATCTTCCAGAGGAATGGAAAAGAGCAGGGTTGGGTACTACACCAACCTTTGCCCACACAGGGTCTGCAGGCAACCCACGTGCCCTACCCCCAGCTCAGCCTGGGACCTCAGGCCAGAGAGTCAATCACAGCCCCAGTCCAGCCTCAGACATCCTTTGTGAGTTGCATTCCAGCCCTCAGAACCCCATCTCCCAGCACCACTGTGAGCCGCGCTGTCCGAGATGGCAGCCACTGGGCACGCACGGCTTCTCTGAAATGGAAAACTCATCTTCCCCATCACACTCATGGTGTTGCCAATGTTCAGCAGCTGAGTGCGGCCAGGGACGGCCAGACCCAGGACATCTGCATCCGCAAGAGCTGTTTTGTTGCTGGCGCTGATCAGGAAGGTGCACGCACACATTGCACATGTGTGTGGAAGGATGGTAGCCAGTGGGGGTGCTGACACAGAGCAGAGGAGGGTGCTCATGGAGAGGGGAGACGTGGTAAAGGAAGGTAGCCACAATGTCACTGCTTGGGTCAGGAACCGGTGGGCAGGGTTGAGAGTAGCGAGGTTAAGCATAGGCAGGTGCCAGAAGGGTGGCAGCATAGCTGACCCTAGCATGGTGCATACTGCATGCTCCAGGCAGGGTGTGAAGCTCTTGACTGGAATTTCCCTAATCTTCAGGACAAACCCGAGGTGTTTAGACTCTAATTCCCAGCTGACAAATACAGAAACGTGCTCATGGAAAGCTTTGTGGCCTCTTCCAGGACTCACTGCTTAAAGGATAGAGCTGAAGTTGGACTCTAAAAGACAAAGAAGGCTCCAGACCCTACCCACCGTACCTCTGCGGTGTTCTGCCCCAGCTTGGAGGAGACACTGCACAGCGGCAGGGAGCAGAGGGACACCCTTGCATTTTACAGCTAAGGAAAGGAAGCAAGGGAGAAAGAGTGGGTTGTGCCCTCTGGGAAGCATGCAGCTGCAAGGAGGGAGCGCCCTCAGACGGAGGAGAGCAGAGAAGGTCTGGGCGAGGGCACACATAGGTAGTGGTGGAAGCAGCAGACATGGCTGCGAGTGTGTTGGCATGAATGTGCAAGAGAAAGACAAGAGCTGTGGAGCCCAGCTGGGGGTGGGCAGAGGTGGGAGGGAGAGGGCACAGCCTCTCCTCCCTCTTTCACTTCCCTCACCTCCTCTCTAAATCATGCCCTGCCTGCCTCATCCCTTCAGCCTCCTCAGCCCGTGTCAGTCTGGAAAGGCCCACCAATAGCTTGAACTCAGACCCTCCACTGTGTGCACCTGCCTCACCTATCTGTCCTGGCCCCCTGAGATTAATTCTTGCATGCTTGCTTACACTCTAAGGGTTCCTGTCCCTGCTCCAGGCAGCAAGCCACCTAAAGACAGGACCTGGGCCCTGGAGTTTTTCTTATCTGCTATCACCTGCTCCCACTACCACAGTTCCCAGTAGGGAGCCCAGCACACAGTAGGTAGGCAGAATCAGGGCAGGGGGTGGGGAGTGTGTGTGGAATACATGGATGGACTGGCTGGGCTGAATGGGTGTAGATAAAGGGATGTTGGGGAGAGCGGGGTGAGAGCTGTGACCGCAGTAACAGAAGCAGGAGTGGCAGCTTAGGGGACTGGGGGAGGGCGCATTACCGGGAGTAAAAATAGGCTGGAAAATGTGACATTTATTAACTTGGATTCCGGACGAAAGGTCACAGCAGAATGGGGAGTGGGAATGTGAAAACAAGGAAGGCAACAGAAAACACACACCAGCCCCTTTCCGAAGCCCGCAGCTGTCACCCACCATCTCACCACCCACAGCCTGGCAGCTACCCTGCCAACCAGTTCACGTGCCCATCATGGGCTCTCTGGCCTCACCAGACAGTTCGTGGTGGACCCTGTATCCCCAGCGGACCAGAGGCCGTTGGTCACAAGCCCCTCCTCCACCCTTGCCCCAGGAACACCTGGACTCCCTTCTCTTCCCCACAGCCTAAACCAGGCATTCCCATCCCAAACTACAACTCCACCCCAGCCCCAGGCCTCAGACTTCAGGAGGTTCTACTCTCCTGGCTGAGGCCAGGATTCCAGAGGCACTCACCATCCTCCTCAGGGGATTCCCTGTCCCTGTGTCCTCCTGGCACCCCCTCCTTTCCAGGAGGCTGGGCAGGAATCCTCTGCCCCCTCCCCTCACTTCCTCAGTCCTCTCCTTCCCTTCCTCCCCTGCCCTCCCACTGACATTTCATTCCCCTTCCCTGCCTGTGCACAACCCCCTCCCCAACTCTCACTCAGGGACACAAAGACCCCATTGATTTCTGCCCCAAGAGCACCTGCTGAGACTGGGCTCAGAGGAGACCATGAATCCTAAAGGCCACACACACACACACTGCACACCCTACCACCTCCTTGGCAGCCCTCCCAGCCCCAGTATGGGGGAGCAGCGATGTGCCCTGGATGAGGGGGTGTGCAGCTAAGCAACAGGCAGTGTCCCTGACTCTTCTTGCAATGCCATCCTCTCTTCCCATCCCTTGCTTCTGCCTCCTCCCTGCCCCAGCCCATGGCAGGAGGCCTCAGACCCTGCACATGTATTGGGGATCAGGAATCTGGTTGGAGCAGTGAGCGAGTGAGGACCAGGTGGGGGTCAGGTGCTGGGCTGTGATCAGGGAAAGTCCACTTTGCTGCTGGAGGCTGGGCAGTGCTGAGCACCATGTCGATGCCATGATGCCATACATTTGCATATGCACAGGGCAGTGGAGGTGGCCAGGATGAGAATACATGAATCCACAGTGCTGGGTGTCGGGAGAAAGAGCACTGACAACCTGCAAGACACACACACATGCCTGGGGGACAGGGTGGGTGGCAGGGGGAGATACATGAGACTAGCTCAAGCTGACTCCACTTCTGGCCAGGATGCATGTCTGTGACCATGCACATGTGAGAGATGGCGCCAGCAGCCCCTTGCATGGCAAGTGATACTTGGGCTACCTGGGGGCCAGGGGGTGGATGTTAGAAGAAGGACTGGGATCCACAGCATGACCTATGCCCCACAGCTAAGCAAGGGCTGGGTCTCTCTGGGTGTGTGTGAGGGTGTGGGTGTGCAGGTGTGCATGTGGCTGTAGTGACAGGGATACGGAATGGCAGTGTGCAGGGACCCATGTCTCTAAGCAGCAGCACACATGTGTGTGTGTGTACACCAACAGAGAGGGTGACTTAAGCCCATCAAAGGGAACGAGTGAGTCCCGGCAAAAGAGCCAGATTGGGCAGGGGAGTAGCAAGAATGGGAGATGGAGTGGGGACTGGCCAGTGGGAGAGTCTGCAGGGGGCAGCATGAAAGAGGGATGTGTGTGGATGCCTGCAAAGGGGGGGCGAAGGCCCAGAGGCAGAGAAGGGACACTGGCTCCCAGTGTAACCGGAGCCTCACTCCCTCTAGCAAGTCTGCAGGGCCAGCTTCCCAAGAGGCAGCCCCTCAACCTGGCTATAGCCAGGAACCCCTCCCAACACCCCCTCCCCATCACCTACATCTTCTGGGAAGAAGCACCCCTCCACCACCACGAAGAAAGAACAAACAAGAGCCAAGTAGTGTGAAAGGGGGCCCAACCTCGAGATGGCACATCCCCAACCCTGCAAGCTGACCACCAGCCCCAAGACCGTTGGGCCCATCCCCAGGGTATGTCCCACCTCCCTCTTGGTCCCAGCCCTGCCGAAGCCACAGGACCAAGAAGAGAGCATCGACAGCTGCTCCAGGGTAAGCGCATAGGAGCGCTGCTGCTCCACACGGCTGGGAAGCTGGAGGGAAACTCCTGGCGTGGGGGAGACACCAGGCCAGCCTCTGGTGGCGGAAGGCAGGGAAGCCCTGTGGAGGATGCCCGCCCCTCTCCAACACACACACACACACCACACACACACACACACACACACACACACACACACACACACACACACACACACACACACGCTGGCAGCACTCACCACAGAGAAGTTGCTGGCAGAGCAGTGGTGCCCACTGAAGTTGCAGCTCTTGAGCATGTCGGCTAGCTGGTGGCCAGTTCGGTTAAGGATGTCGACCATGTCTGGTTCCGGGTACCGCAGGCCAGCAGCACGGTGCCCATCCCGGTCTTTGGGGGGCAGCCCTGTCAGGTTGGCCAGGTGAAAGATGTCGGCATCACTGAGGGCTGAGTGCCGGAAGCGGTTGATATTGCAGAGGGTGACGGCCGGGAAGCCTGCCACCGGGGCTGGGACAGCCGGGTCCATTGCCACCAGGTGAGGCCGAGTCAGGTAGCCCCAGGCCAGGCCAACAGCCTGGTACAGGAAGGCTGCCAGTGAGGTGAGTAGGGCAAGTGCCCACAGGGCTCTCCGTGGTCCGTGGGGGCCTGGGCCACAGGCCCGGCCCAGCCCATGCAGGGTGCTAGTGCTGGCGAAGGTGGCCAGGTCGCGGGGGGCTGCTGCCCCTGGGGCAGCCCCCAGGAGGCTTTGCTCATCCCCTGCCTCTTTCTCCTTGGGCTTCGCATCTTCCTCAGCGAATTTGATTTTGCACACAATCTCAATCGGCATCTGTCCCCGGCTGCTGGGACCGGCCTCTCTGTCCTGCCCTCCCTCCCTAGCAGGCAGCCCCGTGCCCTCCGGAGTGGCGGCGGCGGTGGTGGTGGTGCTAGTGGTGGTGGTGGTGGTGGTGGTGGCGTTGGCGACGGCGGCGGCGGCTGCTCTTCTAAACTCAGGGCAAAGCGGGAGGAGGACAGGGACGGGGTGGGGGCCCGAGGTGGGGGAGTCACTCCCACTCCCAGCGGCTCCGCAGCCCTGGTGCGCTGCCGCCTCTGCTGCCTCTGCTTGTCTCTCTCCTCGATCGTCTCCTTGTGGCTTCCCTTATCAGCACCAGCACAGCTGTCAGCCCCTGCGTGTGTCCCTGCGAGCGAGTGAGCGAGTGAGCGAGGGAGCGAGCGCTGCTCCGCCACGCCGCGCAGCCCCAGTCGCTCGGCTCAGCATGTGCTCGGGAGCCCACCCCATGCTTAATAATTCAGGACATGTCAACAGCGTTTCACCGGCGGCACCGGGAGCAGGAGCCAGGCCAAGGACCGGGGTGGCCCCCAGCTCAGGACAGCAATCTTGGGAATGGGACTGCCCGTCACACCCTAGCCACTCATGGGGAGGATGGGGGAGTGCCCCAAATGTCCACCCAAGGCACCCAGGGCAGGGCATGCTGCCCAGGGTGCCTGGCTTGCTCTGCTGCTCTCCTAGCTCAGAGCTGGGCAGGGTCAGTTAACTCTGTCCCCCACGTCCTGGCCTCCCTGACTCCAGCCCCTGGCCACCACCTGATCCCACTACCCCACTCACGCAGCAGCTTCCAGAAACTCCTTTATAGAGAGCCACTTGTTTGAATGGGAGGGGAGGGGAACAGAGAGAGGAGGGCAGGCAAGAGAGACCAAGGGACCACAGGGACTCCACTGAGATCTTTGGCCTTCTGGGGCTTTACTCCAGCACCCACTGTAGCCTTGGCTCCCCGGGGAGGCTGGTTGTGCCGTTTGCCAACTGCGTGCTAGCTTGTGGCTGGGATGGAGGGCATGCTGGCTGACTGGCACATCTGTGGCCACTTTGCTTCCTCAAATTTCTTGTCACACTGGTTTGGAGGCAGGGTGCTGAGTGAACTGGCTAAGCGTCAAAGGGAAGGGAAGGTAGGTGTGTGATAGAGGAAGAAGAAGAACCCCAAGGCAGGAGTTGGGAGGGGCGAGTATAGGGACAGTGCTGGGCTTTGGTGGGAAGGGTGCTAAGCTAGGGAGACTTGGGAGGGTGAGGGGACTGGTTGAGTGGGCTAGGGGAGCCCCTTGGCAGCCTCTGTCTACTGCGGGGGAAGCAGACATGTGGCTGTATCACAGGCAGAAATGGGGATGCATCGGTGCCCCTGGGAGGTGGGGAAGACAAGAGGAGCCGCTTGTGCTCTGCGGGGCCATGAAAGAGCTTGAACCCTGATGGGGAGCAAGCATTTGCCCCCCCAGAGGCAAGGGTGGGGGGCTGATTAATCGGGGCGCTAATGAGCAGCCAAGAGAGAGGAAACTTGGAGGGGCGGGGGAGTCGGCTCCATCGATCCGAGCCGCGGAACCAGCAGCAGGGAAAAAAAAAAAGTGAGAAGAGAATCGATCTGAGGGAAACGGCAGCTGCCGGGGATTACAGCCCGAGGTCCACCCGCTGCCCAGCGGCTGGCCCTCCCTCCCCTGCGTCCAGCCTGGCCCAGGGGAGGGACCAGGTCGGCTGGCCCACGGGTCAGGGAACCATGCATGCACACATGATGTCCGTCCTGGCTGCACAGGAGGCCAGCTTGGGGTCTCTATAGGAGGGAGCCCACTCGGCTACACTGGGCGCCCTGTCTGCCTAGCTTGTCCCTAGCCTCTTCAGCAAAGTGGCTTCCCCACCAGGATGTCATGGACCTGGGTTGGCTGGTGCCCCAAGGTGGAAAGTCGAGACCCCTGGGCTAAATAATACCTCTCTTCTGACTGGGGGCATGGCCTCCAGGAAGGTGAACATGGGGTTGGTGCCGGCAGCAGCTGCTGAGTTAGCTTCAGTCGGTCCGGGTGGCCGCACATGGTCCTCTCCTGTGTCCTTCCACCCTGGGAGACTTCCAGGCCCCCCAAGCCCCACCCACCAGCTTTCCTCCCATTCAGCTCGCTCTTTTCCCCTTTTTCCAATATTGATTTTTCCTTTACTGGGTGTGTTTTTTTCCTCTTTCTTAAAAAAAAGTGATTTAATTGCTTTTTTAAGGTTACTTCAGTCTGGGGCTCTGCCAAGAAAGTGGGAGCTGCCCCCTAGGCTCTGCCCAATGCTCGTTGCTGCCCTGGCATCGGCGCATGTCTCTCAATCCCTTGGCTGCTCACTGAGATCTCGGGGTCACACCCTCCCCTACCACACACTCTGTCCTTCTGCTGGCCTGCAGGTGTCTTTAGCCACTAAGGAATGGAGGTGGCAATGGGGATGCAGGCAGTGAGGGAGGGGATTGTGGAGAGGCCAGGCCACAGAGCAGGAGTGAGCTGGGTGGCTGTGCTGGGTGGAGAGTGAGCAGTGAGCTGCACACATACTTCTCCACTGCCCTGCTGCCGCCGGGCCCCCCAGGAATTCAGTGAGGAGCCCTGGGAGCACCGCCTCCCTCCCATCCTTCCAGCCCATGTCTTGGTCTTGGCCTTTCCCTAGTCCTCTCCAGCGCCCTGCTGCTCCCCCCTACAATCCCTACACACCCTCCTCGCCCCTGGCCCTGGGCCCCTCTCCTCTCCCTCTCCTGCTTCCCTGCCTGCCTCCCTCTCTGCCCGGCTGCAGTTGGGTGATAATCTCCCTCATTTAGCCTCCCGGCTGCTTCCCCGGCTCATTGCCCAGCTGGTCCCTGGGGCCCGGCCCAGCTTCTTCCCCACCCCCACCCACAGTCCTGCATCCTGGCTCCCCCAGCCCCTCCCTGGCTATCCCCCACCCACTCCCTGGGGACCAGCTGCCCTGGCAGTGAAGCATCAGGGCCAAGGATGGGCAGCCAGGATTGGAGCTGGCTTTGAGCAAAGAGAGGTGGGCTGCTAGAGCCCGGGGAGTTGGGGGGAGCGGCTGGTGCACAGAGAGGAGGGGAGTTGTGGTGGTGAGGTCAGGATGCGGAGCTTCGGCTGAGGCATCCTTGTCCTCCAACTGTCCCCATTGCTCGGATTTGTCCCCAATCCAATCCCTCCCCTCAGGATGAGGCACGCTTCTTGATGGTGAGAAAGGATGGGAGATGGACTGAGGGTTAGATGAGAGTAACACCTGCACAGCTGACATGGCAGGGCTAGGAGTGGGGGCCAGCAAAGGTAACATGGCACAGTATCCTAAAAGGAGACCTAGAGCTCACCCAGGCACCCCAAGTTGGGGGATGCCCAGATACCCTCCGTGGAGCAACAGGAACCCCTTCCCATCATGTGGGGGGGCTGAACTGATGCCCAGCTGGTACCACTCACAACCCTCAAACTTCTAGATAGTGTTCTCCACCCAGACAGGCTCCTACCCCAGGAGACACCCGCTTGTCAGCCCTGAAGGACCAATCACCTGACACTGGTGTGGACCAGCAGAAGAGCCAGTGTGGGACAGATGTGGGTGGGAAGGGACAAGGATGGGGGAGAGGAGGGCTGGGGCCAGGCCGGGTCTGGCTGGTGAGCGAGCAGCGGTGACAAACGGGCTGTGCGGGGGCCGAGGGGCGGGGGGCGGACGGCGGCTGATTTATCTGGGTTATTTATGCCGCGGACGAGGCAGCAGAAGCGGTTAATGAGAGTCCTGGTGAAGGGGGGTAGGGAGGCCTGGACGTGATCTGAGGCGATTGAAGAGGGTTAGCATCCCATCACCAAGCCCTGCCCCCACGGTCCATGGGCACTTTTTGTACCCCCCTAAGTCCCAGTCATCCCAGGGCAAGCTCAACCCAGCACTCCCAGTGTTGCCGAGGCAATGGGTCACCCGTGTGGAAAGGGACTGTTCTAGGATGGGTGGAATCTGGAGGGACCAGAAAAGAGAGGGAAGAAGAAAGATGATACCTCTACCTCCTGCTGGCCAGAAACTGACCTGTGGCCTGCCAGGAGGGCTGGGAGGGGAGAGACCCGCATGGAAGCAGGTGGGCACCCCACAAGCTTGGAGCTTAGGCTGAGCACAGGGCATGGGGGTGGGGTGGGTGCCAGATCTGGTGCCAGCCAGGAGCCACGGAGGGGGGACCTGGGTGGCAGTGGTGGGCTGGGAGGGAGAGGCTGGTCAGAGAGCAGAGAGCCTGGAAGGAGGGAGAGAAGATTCAGAGGAGGAGGGGGAGAGGGCTCTGCAGCAGCGAAAGCTGCTGGGAGCAGATAAGGCAGCACAGTAGCCGGAGGGATTAAAGCTCGGAGGGGCATGGGGGGGGGCTGCGTGGGATGGGGTGGGGAGCAGGGAGGACAGGGTTGAGGGCAAGACATCAGGGCCAAGGAAATGAGTGGGAAAAATAAGAGCCATGATGGGGTGGCAGCTAGTCAGGTGGCTGTGGACTGGGAGAGAAGGACCCCTCTTCATCCTCTGTCCTGGGGAAAAGGACCCCTCTGGCCTTGATGGAGAACCCCTCTGAACTCCACGCAGGTCCCGGGTCATAGGGCTAAGGGACAGCCACACTGTGGAGCACAGGGGCTGGCGGGTGGAGTGACCAGGACCAGCTGGCTCTGGGGGTCACAGAGAAGAGGGCACACAGCGCCTCCCTGAGGTGGCCCCCGGGAGCCACCACCCAGGCTTGCAGACCCTGCCAGGCTGTGCGGCAGGACCAGCTTTTCTGCAGGGGTGTCTGTGGGAAGGGGTGTGGGCTTGGAAGCATGGCAGCTGGCTTTTCCAGGGGCTGCATGCCCCTAAACCACCTTTCTGTTCTCCCAGAAGGGTGAGCATGGGACAGGCAGAGTTCCAGCTCCCTCCAGATTTCAGCCCAGGGCAGCTTAGGGGTGGAGGAGAGAAAGTCAGAGGAGGAGGGGAGCGAGGAGGAGGGGCTGGAGGAGGGGAGCGGGGGTGGCAGGCGGGGCTGGGTAATTGCGTGTTTGCCAGTTCTCCCGTCTTTGCGCGCGAGGGAGCGTGTGTTGGTGGGTGTAACTTTGCTTGAAGAGTGTGTGTCTGTTGGCAGAGGTGTCAGTGTGTCTGTCTCAGGGGTCTGGGCTCTTCTTGTCCCCCC